AAAGTGGCATGTAGCTCCACCTCTCTGCATGAGGAAAGCTAGTATGGACACAGGAGGACATCTTCCAGAAACACAAATAAGATTGCAGAAAACTGCTTGTCAAAAATCCTTCAATCAAAACCCAGGGCCTGTGGCAAAAAAATCTGGTCTCCTAAATGAAATTCCACCACTCCAGTCAAAATGGCAATTATCAGGAATATTAGTAACAATGAATATTGGCGAGGATGTGGGGAAAGAGGTACACTCATACTTTGCTGATGGGACAGCAAATTGGTGCAACCACTCTAGAAAGCAGTATGGAGGTTCCCCAGAAAACTTGGAATGGAACCACCATTTGACCTAGTTATTCCACTCCTTGGAATATACCCATAGGACTTAAAATCAGTGTACTACAGTTATACACCCACATCAATGTTTATAGCAGCTCAACTCACAATAGCAAAGCTATGGAACCAACCTAGGTGCCCATCAATAGATGAATGGATAAAGAAAATGTGATATATATACACAATGGAACATTACTCAGCCATAAAGAAGAATGAAATTATGGCATTTGCTGCTAAATGAATGGAACTGGAGATTATCATACTAAGTGAAATAAGCCACCCACAAAACCAAAGGCTGAATGTTCTATAATGTGGATGCTAACACACAATGGGGTCAGGGAATAGAAGTTCATTGTAGTTAGAAAAATCGGAATGAAGGGAAGGGAGAGGGGATGGGATTAGGAAAGACAACAGAATGAATCGGACGTAACTTTCCTAGGTTCATATGTGAATACATGATCAATGAAACTCCACATCATGTTCAACCACAAGAATCGGATCCTAATTAGAATAAGTATATTCTCTGTATGTGTATTATGTCAAAATATACTCTACTGTCATGTATATCTAAATAAATTAAAAATTAAAAAATTCATCTCTTTCGTGGGGGTACAAGCAAACGTGGGTATGAGTGGAGGGTATAAACATGCTTGAGATCCGACCTGCTTGGGTCCAAATCTTAACCTCAACACCTGCCTCCTGGGGCTTGGGGTCACCTGCTGAAGGGCCTAGGAACATCTCCATGGGAGTTCCCAAGTCCACGTGTGCAGTGTGTGCACACATCCTTGCACACACATACACACAAACGTCAGAGATGAAAGGGGCAGCCTGGTTGCCCCTGTTCTTCTCAGATTTTGAAAAAATCACTCCAGTCACCAGCCAGCTGAACCTTATCCAGACTCATGGATGGGCACTTGGAGTAAAGTGGAGCAGGCTGAAGAGGGAGTCAGGCTCTGGCTCCAAGCCCCTTGCACGAGGTAACTGCCGCTCGGATGGATCTTAGGATGAGGAGGACCAGTGAGGAGGCAGAGAGGGGGTAACAGGGCTTGGACCTGGTCACTGCCAATGGGGATGGAGAGGGAAGAACAGTGTACACTTATGAAGGAGGGGGGATTATCAGAATTCCAAAATTGGCATGGGGGTATGGTGGAGAGAGGGGAGGGAGTGGAAGGTCAGGGCTGAAGGTGACCCCATGTTTGTGGCTTGGACAGCTGAGCAACAGTGGAGCTACTTGATAAGGAAGAGACGGCAGCAGTGCAGGGGAAGGGGGGAGGATGCCTGAACTTGAGGCCTTTGGGACGTGCAGATGGAGTCATCAGGGGCTATGTCCTGGCCTAGAGCCCTAGGAGAGGGCAGGGAGGCAGGGGTCTGGACTTCCTGTACTGTGTACATGTCCTGGCTCAACAGAATTCCCTGGGAAATGATCCTTGGTTCCCTGGGGAAACAAGCCCCTGTAGTTCCAAGTCCCTATGGCAAGGGGTGCTATTCCAAGCTGACATGCCACACCTCTGCACCTTTTGCAGGACAGTGTCTGCGCAGTTTGGGAAAGGCCTGTGGATATTTGACTTAGCTGAGCTGCTGTGCCTGCTTGTCTGAGATGCAGGAGGAAGGGGAGGAGCGAGGTCAGCACCACCTTCTGCATCCCAGCCGTGGGACTTCTACCTCTTTAACAGTGTGGCAGACTCTGGGCCTCTTTAACAGTGTGGCAGACTCTGCAGTCAGGGAAGACAGGCTCATAAATGACTTTGCAAACATAGGTGGAAAGTCAATTTCTGATGGAGTGAGGAGGGAGCTAAGAAGGACCCGGCCAGGGGCCAGCAACTCCACCTGAGTGAAGTGCTGCAGAGCTAGCAGCTGGGCCCATGCAGTGGCATCTGCTCCCCTTCTGAAGGCTCCGTTAGTCCCAGCATCCACCCTGCAATGGACAGCCTGACAGGTGCCAAGCTCCTTGTCACAGCTGGGACTAGAAAGCAGCTGTCAGAGATATGGGAGGAGCCTTCAGCCCGCCGAGGAGGCAGCCTGGATGAACTTACAACTTTTATTTCACCGGATTCCATCACTCTGACACTCCCAGGGGCAGCAGCACTTTTAACTCTGGATTTTTCATCCTAGGGATTCTTCCTTTCCTGGTTCCAGTCCTCCCTGACCCCCTCCTGGCAATGAATAACATTATGTATGTGCATTAATCACACATGTCACTGCTCGGCCAGACCTGATGCTAGGTGGCTCCAGAGGCCAGTACTTCTCCGACTTTAATGAGCAGAATCACTTGGGGTGTGAGCCAGCAGCTCTGGGGCGGGGCCTGCACTTCTGCATTTCCAATGAGCTCCCAGGTAATACAACCTATTGCTTCTGGGACTGCACTGTGAGAAAGGAGGGTGACCCCTATTCTCGATCTTTGGGGCCATTCCTAGTCTCCCTTGCCTGAGAAGAATAAACCTGTCCTAGCAAGGCAGTTCCACCATGTCCCAGGGACCCGCCATAGGACCTCCCTTCGTGGTTACCGAACCCAGTGAACTGCTTCCACTTGTAGGAGCTGCCCCTTGGTTCTGTGGAGTGTCTGGGGCTAGAGCAGGGCTCAGTCTGTGGCTCAGCCCTGCCCATCTCTCAGCCCCACTTGGGGCTCTGGACTGCAGAGCCTCCCCCTCCTTTACCCTGACTGGCGGCAGAGATACTCTGCAGAGCCCCTCCCTGGGTCCCAGGCCTGGTGTGTGTCCTTTCTTTGTATGGGCCTCAGTTTCCCCATCTGTAGTGTGTGGGTGACCTGAAGGCTGTCCCAGAGGATCTGGTTGGCTCCCTGAGGATGCAGTCTTTGCAGCCTCTCTTGGCATCAAGGGTTCAGGTATTTTTAGGAAGGTTGGCACCTCCTGGGCTCTTTCATTAATGTAGCTGGTGAAGATCAGCATTCTTTGAAATCACAGTGGGAAGCTGAGAAGCATCCCTGGTGCTGCTGTGTGTGCACAGGGGAGGGAGGGGGTCATGGGGGGAGGGGGGAGAAGGTCAGAGGGGTGAGTGGGTGGGGGAGTTCAGGGTAGAAAAACCCAAAGTGCTTTTCCTACTGTCACAACCACTCAGCACTACTCTTCTGACACCAGATAGGCCAGATTGTTTCCCCAGGTGCCAAGTGATTCTCCTGCTGGTGTCCTCTAATCAGACAATGCTGACACTGTCTACCTGGAGATAGTCCATTCCACAGGTTGAGGGCTCAGTCCCGCAAGACTACCCCCACTTCAGATGCCAATCACAAGCCCCAGGTTGTGACCTGTATTCCTGTTCAACTGGCTATAAATTGAGGTTCATATGACCTCGGCCTATCCCAATTCAATTAATTCGTGAGTATGGCTCTCAGAATCCAGGGAAACATTTCATTTCCCCTTACCGTGTATTATATATTATAATGGATATTTGTAAGGATTTGGATGAAGGGCAGATGGAAGAGCTGTGTCTGGCCAAGCATGTGGGCACACTACTCATGTGGCCAGCAATCTAGAAGCTTCCGGAACCTGGTCCTTTTGGCTCTCTATGGAGGCTTCATTATGTAGGCGTAATGGTGATCAACTTGACCTTCAGCCATTCTCCCCTCCTGAGGCTGGGATGTGGCAGAAATCCCCAACCTTCTAATAGCGTCTTGGTTTTTCTGGCGATCAGGGCCCATCCTGAACTATCTAGTGACCTACCGCCTGTCATCTCTTTAGCAGACAGAGACCTTATTATCACTTGGGAGGCTCTACAGTTTCAGGAGGTAAGTGCTGGAGCCAGGGGAGGAGACAAGATGTAGAAGTCTCTTATGACATTGTGGTGTCACAGCAGGGCTCCTGGGAGTTGTGCATTTGGGAGCGAGGGGCTTGGTGCTCAGAGCAGGATTATTTAGCAGTGACAAAGCATGACATCCTCAAAGTGGTTCTGAGTGTTCTGGAAAGGTGTGTGTGTGTGTGTGTGTGTGTGTGTGTGTGTGTGATAGAGAGAGAGAGAGAGAGAGAGAGAGAGAGAGAGAGAGAGAGAGAGAGAGAGAGAAGGAGGGAGAGAGAGAGGGGAGCCAAGGGGCACTCTGCGGCATCAAGGGCAGGACTTCAAGGCTTCTTTCGCTCTGTTCTAATATATTCTCGTGTGCATGATCTTTATTTATGCCTCAGTTGTCCATCCTCCCATTCATTCTGCAACTGTGTATCTGCACCTGCTCTCTGTGGGCCCTGAGACAGGTGCTAGGGACAGAGAAGAGCCAGGCACAGTACCTGCCCTCAGGGCTCCGAGTGCATTGGAACCGAGCTCCCTGTGGCCAGCTCTGAGCAACAGGATGGGAAGGCCACCCTGGAGCAGGCTGGGAGTCTCCTAGGGGAGTGGGCACTTGGCAGGACCTGGAGATGTGACTGAGGACAAAGGACGAGGGACTGCTGGGCAGAAGCACAGAGGAGTGTCGAGGTGGGGCAAGTTCAGGGAGGTGGCCCAGAGGAGGCAGCTCAGGCCCAGCCCTGGAGAGATCTGGAGCGGGTGCAGGAGTGGGCTGTGCTGGCTGCTCTGTCTGAGTTCACGGCTGTCCTCTGGGCCCAAACACAACCTATCCTTGTGGGGACAGAAGAGCCCCCGAGACCTGACTTACTCCCGATCCCACAGCACGGGCCCAGCCCTGGCTCCAGCCTCTACCTTCTCTCCTCGTCACCACTTCACACCACTTACCTCTACAGCTGCTCTCGGCCACAGTCCCCAGGGAAGTGTCAAAGTCAACAGACAGCACGGCATCCTGTTCTACCTTCCAGGAGCAGCTCCACCATGGGCCCTGCAGGAGGTACGGGGGGAAGGGGAAGGGCCGAGTCTAACTCTGGTTCTGAATCCAGCATTCTCTGCTGTGTGACCTTGGGTGAGTCCCTTCCCCTCTCAGGGCCTTAGTCTCCTCCATCAAATGAAGGGGTCTGTGTACATCACAATTTCTTTCCTGTCTGCCTCACTGTTTAACACAGGCAAGGCCTTTGAAAGGCACCAAAACGCCATTCTTGCTATGGCTGCAGAACAGAGCTCTCTGAGGCCAGCTCTTAGCAGCAGGATGGGAAGGCCACCCTGGAGCAGGCTGGGAGCTGCTTCCTCACCCCCTCGGAGACTGCACCACAGCTATCTGGTGGACACCCCAACTTCATCCCACCACCCCTGCCAATATGGCCCTTAGTTGGGGTGGGCAGCCGGTGGGCTGGGACAAGGTAGGGAGGATGGCTCCAGGTCCTGCCTCCTGCCCACCACCAGGCCCTGGCCTGGCCCCAAGCACTGGGACACTTGGCTGCTATAGGAACCACATTCCTATTTCTTTTCCTGGCCTATGCTCAGGGTTTACAGAAGCGTCCCTAAGAGTCAGCCTGGCTGTGCCAAAGTACAAAAGCTGTCAAACATCCATGGGTCTGTGGCTTCTTCCAGCCCTGGCTGTACTTGCCAGGTTGCCAGATGAAAGATAGTATAGTGTCCTGGGCAGCTGCTCCCAGTGCGAGCAGACTTAAACCCACCCCCGAGGACGCTAAGACTCAGGGTCAGTCCCCTCTCTTTCCTTCAGACAACCTCCAACACTCCCTGTAACCTCAGGAACCCATTCACAGGCTTGAAACAGCCATGGCGTTCAACTCTGGGGCAAGGGAGGCTGCACCAGCCTTCCTGGGCAGGAGAGAAAGGCTGGGAGAAGGGCAGCACCAGGCCTGGGCAGGGCCTGGGGGCAGGGGACCTGGGGACAGTGTTGTCCATTTATTTATTCATCCACATGCCCCACAAGCCCTGGGAAACACCCCAAGCAGGGTCCAGTCCTACCCTGAGCACTTAGGAGTGACAGATGCAGGGACAGTGGCTCAGCCCAGGCCTCATGGGGCTGGTGGGGGACTCAGGGACCAAACTCCAGCCTACCTGGAGGAGTAGTTTGAGTCCTAAGGCAGTAGGCTTCCAAGAGGCCCTGCAGTGAACAGGACTGTTCTGGGGGCCATAGGAGTGTCCTGTGGATGGAGGAGTCCAGCCGCCCTTTCTGGCCCCCTCCCTACTTGGACAAAGAAGTTGACTAGAGCAGCCCCAGGGCCAAGACGCAGGACACGGCAACTGTCCAGCCTGCTCTGCCCTGCTGGTGGGGAGGCAGCCAACCTTAACAGGCAGCCTCAGGCATTCTGCAGACCTGCCCATCTGAGCAACGCTCCACACACTCTGCCTGTCCCAGTTTATCTTCAGACCCACCACTTCGATATGACCCCCTCCCCAGCTGCTACTCACGCAGATTCCTGGAGTGAGAAGCCTGACCCCTCCGCACTGTGGGCCTAAGTTCCAATTTCTAAAATGGCCAGTGGGCTCCCCAGCAGAGCAGTCCCTCCCTTCCCTCAAAGCCTGGAAGGCTGAGCCTGTCTCTGGAGGTCATAAGGAGTTTATCTGTCACTATAGGAGAACCAGGTCCCAAGCCGTGCGCTTCTGAAGCTGTCCCTGTGTCTTCTCCATCCCCGTCGGTTTGCCCCCTCCTTACAGGCAGGATTCAGAGCTCATCATAACCCCTCTTCATGCCACTCAGTGCCCCACACATCCCCTCCCTGAGTACTTCTGAAAAGGGACACTTGGCGGCAGGGGAATCTCTGCTGTTGGCTTCCTCTAGGGAGCTGAGACCGACAGACGGTGCCCCACTGACCCCCAAGAAGCTCGATAAGAGATGGTGCAAGTGGAAGGGAAATCAGAAAACTCAGGCACAGGGAGCCAAAGAGGAGGGAAGAGGGGCCACTCACGGTTCAGCCCCTGGGGACCTGGTGGGCTATTGTGAGCGGCCCTGTCTTCCATTTGGCAATGTCCACCATGATCTTCCCCTGACTTTCCTCAGCCCTCACTGCCCAAAGTCCTTCACAACCATTTCCCACCCACCTCTTCTCCTTCCAGGGGCTCCCATATGTCAAAGCCATCCATCTTAAGACTGAAAGGAGAGGGAGGTGCTCTGTGGGCGGCACCTAGCTGCCTGTGGCCTCTGCCCTGCAGAGCCAGGTCAGGCCCAGCTTCCCACAGAGGCTGGGGCCCACTTTCCCTCCTCCAGGCTCTGCCAGCCCACTTGAGCAGGGGCCTCTCCTCTTGCTTCCTAAACACTGCTCTCCCCACCCCTTCTGTGGACACCCTCTGTGGAGGCCATCAGCCTCGATCTGGGCCCAGCAGTGATCTGCGCCCCTGAGCCAGGCAGACTATACCAAGGCTCTGCTTCTGTTACAGGAAGTTATGCCCTCTTAGGCACCTGAAAACCAGTGTGGCACCCTCCTTCTTTCCAAGAAGGACCCAGAATCTTCCAGAGGGGAGTTTTCTGTTCCAGAAGGTGGTAGAAGCACAGCTTCCCCATCCCACTGAGATGCCCTTAGGAATCCACACGGAAATTCCTGTCAACATGACAAAGAACTTCCGGGGTCAAATTGTTGACTTTCTGGAAAATGGGAGGAAGACCAGAATAGCCCCTTATCTGATTTGCTTTCCAAGGTTTTAGTTACTCGTGGCAACACAGTCTGAAAATATTAAATGAAAGACTCTACAGATAAGCAATTCCTAAGTTCTAAGTAACTTTTACAACTGTGTAATGTTATAGTAATCTACTTGATTATTAATTATTGTTGTTATCCCTAATTTAATTTATAAATTAGACCTAATCACAGGTATGTATACATAGAGGCTGGAACTACCCGTGGTTTCAGGCATCTGAAGGTCTTGGGATGTATCCCCTTGTGGATAAGCATGGGGATACTGTATACTGAACTGATAGTTGAACAGAGAAGGAAATCACAACCTAAAAGTGGCCCCGGACATTTATACACAATGGAGTATTACTCTGCATTAAAAAATGACAAAATCATAGAATTTGCAGGGAAATGGATGGCATTAGAGCAGATTATGCTAAGTGAAGCTAGCCAATCCCTAAAAAACAAATGCCAAATGTCTTCTTTGATATAAGGAGAGTAACTAAGATCAGAGTAGGGAGGAAGAGCAGGAGAAGAAGATTAACATTAAATAGGGATGAGAGGTGGGAGGGAAAGGGAGAGAGAAGGGAAATTGCATGGAAATGGAAGGAGACCCTCAGGGTTATACAAAAGTACATACAAGAGGAAGTGAGGGGAAAGGGAAAAATAATACAAGGGGGAGAAATGAATGACAGTAGAGGGGGTAGAGAGAGAAGAGGGGAGGGGAGGGGAGGAGAGGGGGGATAGTAGAGGATAGGAAAGGCAGCAGAACACAACAGACACTAGTATGGCAATATGTAAATCAATGGATGTGTAACTGATGTGATTCTGCAATCTGTATATGGGGTAAAAATGGGAGTTCATAACCCACTTGAATCAAAGTGTGAAATATGATATATCAAGAAATTTGTAATGTTTTGAACAACCAACAATAAAAAATTAAAAAATAAATAAATAAATAAAATAAAAAAATAAAAGTGGCCCCGGAGATATCATTAGCACAGTTCCTTCATAAAGGATCAGGCCAGGGGACTCAGCCCTTATCATTCAGAATTCCAGAAATAGAAAACCAAGAACACAAAATGAGCCCCACTGTAAGATGTGGGTCTTTGTTTAAAGAGGAACCTGAAAAATTCTTGCCATATTTCAAGCATCTAATCATAAGATCTTGGCTTCTAGATAGTACAAATGGGCAATGTGCAAGGAATGGGAATCCAATATCTGATGCCAGAGGCCAGAGGGTTCAGAGGGACAATGATCTTGAGCTTCTAATCCTAGGACTACACCAACTGTCAAGTAAATGCCCTTTCAGATAGAGATCATTTGAGGATATACTACTTGCAAAATAAAAAAGGAATCTCAGCCAGGCATGGTGGAGCACACCTGTAATCCCAGCAGCTCCAGAGACTGAGATAGGAGGATCATGAGTTCAAAGCCAGCCATAGCAGCAATTTAGTGAGGCCCTAAGCAACTCAGAGACCTTGTCTCTAATAAAATACAAATAGGGGCCCTGGATGTGGCTCAGCGGTTAAGTGCCCCTGGGTTCAGTTCCCTGAACCAAAAAAAAAAAAAAAAGAGAGAGAGAGAGAGAGATGAAGGAATCTCAAGAAGAGGAGGTTATGGGGTAGAAGAAACAGAGGAATTCACCCAGGGGGGTCCTGAAGGAAATCCCAGCAGGGGCTACATAGGAACTTAGAAAGCCAATTTAGATCCCTTCAAACAATATTAAAATCCAGCGATTATAAGAATGTAGAAAAGAAGAGTGTGCTCCTTCTTGAAATGGGGAGGGGGGAGGGCAGAATAAGAGGCAGCCAGGGAAAATAAATGAACTGGACAGGCCATTGCTGGAATATACGAGGCCAACCAAACACAGCAACCCATGGGTCTGTGCAGCCGTGGGCACGTGCAGGGTTAAATGAAAATGACAGGGGCCCAAAGCCCAGACTAAAAGCAAAATGGAGTCATTCATGCTAAGGTTCCCCATCAACAGCCTGAAACTAAGCTGTTTATCTGACCTCCTGAAATCAGGATTAGAGAGATAACAGCCAATTTTCCCCAAATAGGTCAATTTTGTTGGCATGATAATGAAGTTCCCTCTGCTTTAATCCTTACACACTCACAAAAGAAGGAATCTAAAATAACCTGATGTTCGCTCTTTGGTTATTTTCCTTGTGTTCTGTCGCTGTTCCAGCCTCACCAGGAAGGGACTTTGCAATCACCTCTTTGTTCTTCCCGGTGCTTTTCTCTGGTACTCCTGACAACAAAACCAGCCTCCTCTGCTCAACCTATTGAAACTCATTCTACTTGATGCAATGAAGTGTCAGGAGATTCTAGAATTGAAAATAAA